ACGAAATTTCCTCGGATTCAATTTTGTGCCTTGTGAAAGTATGTTTTAATTTAGCAGTCATCAACCCAGGGACAGGAACTCAGACTTTCGTATTCATAGTAGTGTCTGTCTCTACCAGTGACGAATTACATTTATCCCCGAGGCTTTCAATTTGGACTGAGTCTGATATGTGGTATTTAACCAATATAGTAATATAATGTGCTTGGTTAAAATAATGATCACAATACAAATACTTTGTGATAAAAAACATTATACACAAATATATGGACGAAATTTATGCTAAAAACAATCAGAAGGTCTACTTTTACGACTAAGTAAAAGGTAATAATAAAATGAGCAGGACGGAAATTAGATCAGGGTCCAAAATAAGGCTCACCAATTTCGTTTCGGTGGATGCTCTTTGTTATGTCGATAGAAGAAACCAGACAAGTGGTGAATAGGTCTTTATTTCTATAATAGACCGTACAGCTGGAGGGCGAGGTTATCTTTTCAAGCACAGGTTTTCTCAACATTTATTGTAAAATATGAAATATAATGCCTAAAAAATAAGGGAGTGTATAGATATCTGAGTTATAATGTTCTGACATTTACTTAGACGTTTGCTGTTCACTAATAAACGATCACCCTGATTTGTTGCGACCATCTAAAATAAACGTAGAGTGAATTGTTTTCGCTTGATTATTGTTAGTGGAATTTTCTTAGATGGATTATGGAACAGGCCATAGAAGTCTGGCAAGGAGATACTGAATTTGACGAATGAAGTACAAATAAAAGTCGGAACGGATCAATGTTAAATAAGGCTCTATTACTTTCAGGGATTAGTGAATCGGGTTTGTCTCTCCAGCATCATATGCGTTTTTCAGAAACTCCACCTTCGCTTCATTTCGATAGTTATACCCTTAAAACTATCATGTATATTTTCCCGCTTCCAAGACACTTATAAAATGTGATGGGCTCTTTTTGCATTATTGAATCGCCTATACGATAACTATAACTGAACTAAGTTTATAGAGGCTCTGAATACTGACCAAATGCAAACTTAGATCAGAGAACGATTATGAAGAAGTTACCTTAAACTTGTTTTACATAGTGCTAGTTTGCAATTCTATGATATATGTGAGTCAATCTATAATTATATATTTCTAAAAAATTATTATATATTTACTCCAAACTTTGTTAACACTCACCCAGCTTCAAGAAAAAAGACACTGATCTTCAGCACGAGTTATCTTCAACAACCTTCAAGCTGCGCCTCAAACAGATGGGAAGAGGTAAGGAAACTTTACTTTGTGACACATCTACAGGTAGGGATCGCCCAATCGTGCCGAAACATTATCGACGCAATGTCTTCAACACATTGCACAAACTTTCGCATCCAGGTGTTCGTGCAACCATCAAGCTTATAGCAGAACGGTTTTGCTGGCCTGGAATGAATAAAGACGTGAGGGAGTGGGCACGCTCCTGTGTAAGCTGCCAAAAATCTAAGGTTATCAGACACAATAAATGTCCCTTGGGCTCATTTAAAACTCCCGATTCTCGTTTCGACCATGTTCATTTGGATTTGATGGGACCTTTACCAGATTCAAATGGATACTCTTATCTTTTAACCTGCGTAGACCGTTTCACTCGATGGCCAGAAGCAGTACCTATCAAGGACATCACTGCTGAAACAGTGGCCCGCACCTTCGTCGAACGATGGGTAGCAAACTTCGGCTGCCCTTCAACCATCACTACAGACCGCGGACGTCAATTTGAATCTGAACTTTTCCGTCGTCTGACCACACTTTTAGGAATCACTCGTTTCCGAACGACGGCCTATCACCCATAAGGAAATGAGTTGGTAGAACGTTTTCACCGACAACTAAAAGCTTCGTTATCAGCTAAAAACGTTTCACAGTGGACTGATACTCTTCCACTCGTCTTACAGGTTATTTGCAATGCAGTCAGAGCTGACACAGGATACACTGCGGCTCAACTCTTTTATGGAACGACACTTCGACTTCCAGGAGAATTCGTGGATCCTTCATCCTCTTCAATGAACATGGATCTAACCTCCTACACGAACAGGCTTACAAACGCAATGCGTTCAGTTAAACCTGCTTCCACTCAACCTCAATCAACTGATGTTTTCGTTCAACCTGACTTACGATATAGTACACACGTTTTCGTTCGTCGAGACTCGCATCGACGACCATTTGAATCAGCATACGAAGGACCCTTCAAAGTTCTTCAACGTGAACCTAAGTACTATATAGTCGATATGAACGGAACCAACGATAGCATCAGTATCGATCGCTTAAAAGCAGCGTATTTAGAAGGAAATCCTATCTACGTGGATTTTCCTTCGGTACAATCGAACGACACGACTCCGACACGTACAATACCTCATTCGACAACCAACGCGCAGGATGATACTTCGGTAGTATCTGAAAATAAACTTAAAACGACGCGTTCTGGAAGAAGGGTGAGATTTCCAGAACATTTAAACGACTATTGCACGTAAGACACCAGTCAACATTTTATTTCATCTCGGTTTTCCATGGTAATATATATAATATAAAAAAATCAATTTCTCTATGCTTATATTTGTTTATATTTATTATGTTGCTAATATGTGTGCTAAAATTTTTTTTAAAAGCAAACAAAAAACTTTTTAAAAATCGCTTTTACGCCATTTTCTTTTTTTCGCCCACTTTGTGTCGTAAAGCGCATACGAGTTTATGTCGACATGCACTTACATATTCTTTTTTCTTTTCCAGGACGGCTGGAAAAGACGATAAAAAAACGGTGAGCTTTACGAGGAACCAAAAATTTTCATTGTATATTATTTTTTTAATAGATTGTATTAAATGGTCCCTTATAATAAGAAAAGACGACCAGATGCTGCTAAACCTAGCAAGCTATCAGAAGTGTTTCTCAGTGACAAACCCGTTGGGTTTAAACTTCTGGCTGGCCACGTCTTAGAGTCATCATTACCGCACTAGGGGGGGAGTGATCTGTAGCGGTAAATAAATCCCTAAAATAAATAGCTCTGTAAGTCTTCGACATTGGATGCTGTTCACATTAGTTTTGATGGACTCACCTAACTGAAGTCTCTCGGTCATGCATCCGTACCAGATCACGAGTGGGAACGCCGTGCTCAACAACCCCTGCGATCGCTAGCCAGATTAGATCAGGCGATCCTCAATATATTGATAGCCTATCAAGTATACCTTCGAACCTCCTCGCCAGGTGTTGCTGGTTAATGCGTTGTCAAACTCCAAATACCTGTGGCATCTTCATTGGTGGGGCTGACGTGATCTGGTATACCAATTTGCAAACCGTGAGTCTGTTCCTTTTTGAAATTTTATATATCATTGACTTATTTTAATTTTCATACGTTGTGATACGTTTTTCCCGTGTTTTTAGATACATGTTTTCTGTTCACTCGTTCATTCTCGTACTTGATATTTCACTAAGACTGAACAGACACCCACCTTCGTTTCAACTGATGCCCTTCTATCCAGACAACATCAAAGCCTGGTTCTGCCAAGCAGAAGCCAACTTCTCCGAGCACGGCGTGATCGACAGACGTGCACAACTCGCAGTATTCATGGCACTACCTGTGGCATCTTTAAGGCTTAAAAATAGTGGATTATGTCATAAACGTTTAGAATGACTATATCGGTTGAATAAACGAGTACGCTCTCAACATGAAAAAAATTCTTCAACTGTATTATGTAGTTCAGTGGCTATCAAGACATGAGGAAACATATTTTAAAAATATTTGATCACCTGTTGTTCACATACATGGTAATCTATGTTTCACAACAAATCATAGCTTCAAATATCGAGCATTGATGGAATGATCACCACAAAACTCTTGTTATCTTTCGAACAGCATATGAGTCCTGGTGCCCTACGATTTAAAGTCTTACGCTAACTGTGACAAAAATGCCTTCCGTGCAAACCTTGCACTGGTAACGTTGAAGCGCATTTTTGGCCAGTTCGACGGAAGAACTTTCCATATGATCTTCAGTAGTTTCATCCGTCCCCACTTAGAGTACGGAAACATAGTACTTCCCTCCTCACTCCAAAAGGACAAGGACACTTTGGAGTGTATCCAACGGCGAGACACGAAATCAGTTCGAGGACTCAAATTTAAACCTTACGAGGAGAGCCTCCATTCACTTAACCATTACCCATTAGAGTATAGGCGTCTTAGAGGTGATCTATTCGTGACTTATAGTATTCTCAACACTTCTGGACATCCTCTTAAACACCTACTTAAGCTTAGTTCGAACACTAACCTAAGGGGTAAAACCCAAAATCTGTAGACACAATATAGCAAAACGGAATGTAGACATAAATTCTATTCCTTAAGAGGTGTCTAATGCTGGAACTCGCTGCCGGCCGAGCTAGTCCAAGCGACTTCCCAGGAGTCCTTTAAGAGACAACTTGACCCATTCTTAAGGACCAAGGACAGCATCATACTATGATTTACCAATTTCTTTTTCCTCTTTTATTGTTAGCATACCTAGGTTCCTGCCTGGAAGTTTTGGTGATCCCCTGCTACTAGACACGTAAGCCTGTTAAGCGAAAGCTTCTTCTATTCTGTCCACAACCATTTGAAGCATTTGAACCCAGTGCCTTCAGCCAGGCCGTGTCCAGTGAAACTAACGAAGTCAGCGTTAATGTTGAAGACTTATACAACCACTTATTTTGGGGATTTATTCACTAAATCTTATAAACAGGGAAAGAAATGAGACAGTTACTGATCAGGTTTCTGAGGGATCGATATTTAATAATGATCTTCCTTGATTCCTCCAAATGCGACATTGTGTTTATAGACATAGACTTAAGCTGTTAACGGAGATGGATACCAAATCATTGATTTGTCAGTTAAACTTAGAAGGTGAAGTTAATTGTTTGAATATGATAGGTAAAATACGTATATTGTTTGCATGGCTCAGAGGATAATACGTAACAAACGACCAATTCAAAGGTGACGTTACACAACGATGGTCGTTAAAATTACCAAGGAGGATGAAAGACTCTTGGAAGAATACAGTCAAGCAGCTTCGAAAAGTTCTGAAAAGCTAGTTTACGTTAACGCCATTATGATATCTTCGATTCCTATCTGTATGTTGTTAAAATATAAACCTAACTTAACTAGGGTTATTTTGGGGCGTTCACAAAATGCCTCTGATAGCTAATTCATTCTTGTATGTAATCATTTCACTGGCCTCAACCTTCCTCATATCTATCGCATACAAAAATTCAAAGACGCCTTTGATGGAAAAGTGATTATTTGTCGTATTATACATTGTCTTTAGGATTGCTATCCGTCGAACCGAAGCAATTACTAAAGAAGTCAATAACGAAGCTGGTAAAGACAAAAAGTTGTCGAAGAAGAACAGAGAGGATGTGTAAGTGTGACTTTTAATTAATTTTCTCAGTGTCCGTGAACGAACTAAAAAGGTTGCTGATTACGAATCTACGACTTTCTCAATATTTTACAATAATTGTCTATTTCTCCTAGTCTTACTGTTACTTTCTGCCGTCCTTCATCATTTTTCGAATCAAGTGTATCCTTTTGAAGTGTTGCCAGAATCGTTCACATAGTAGACAATAGCTCATGCGTCATTTTGTATTTTTCTAGTTCATTTTCTACTGTGTTGCTATTTTCTGGGAAATTGATTGATAGAAACCGTTGACTTAGAGGAATGTCTATAATGCTTAGTCGTTAATGACTCTGTTCTCTTTTTGAACTAATCTAACACAATAACTGCGGTCACTATCCTAACGGGTGTTGAGTGTCGAGTATGTGAATATGGACTGTTCATAGACGACTCATAAGGCAAGGCATGGGTTTTATTGCTTTGCCTTTTCTAACAGTACCATATGGTAGAATCCTGTCTTTCAGTTGCCTAATGTCCTGCTTGTATTTGGTTTCAGCTGTATTGTCGGATGGTTTGCTTATGAATGAGCTTTTTTTACCTCTTACCTTCTCTGTAAACATAAAGCACTTTAATTTTACCTTGACTGTTTTAGTTATAATCAGGTACATGTTTATCGTTCATAATCGTCGTGCTCAGATGAATTATTAGGTTGTCCGTCATCTGATCAATCCCACTAGTCATTTCACATGAAAATTTTTAGCTTGCTAACAATTTTACAATTATTTGACAACATACTCTGTTTTTGACCGCAGTAAGTCTAAAGGTGTTTACTTAACGGAATATACTATGATACTTAACGTTCGTTTAAAACGTGAAAGACCACTAGCTTGTTTTTCTTTGCTTTTTCATTTCATAACCTTCATTTCGGGTAGTTGTAAAATGAAACCGAGTTTCAAAGTTTGCTTGGTGTTTCATAATATCAATCACAAGGCAATCCTATTACCAAAGTAATTTACGTATGACTAGATGTAGTTTTAATGTTTTCCATTTCCTTAACTAATAAATTAGGAATTACTCTGTATCGATGTTACTCGCTGCCGGCGCAACTGCTTTCTTGTCATCCGGGAAAGGATCATTTTGATTCCATCAGTAATATACGCTTTTCGAAATGCTTGCCTTCTAAAGTCGATTGTGAAAGTAATTTGATCAATGTTAGTAAAAGTTTCATTAATGTTGTGTATATGTAAATTATCAAGATTTCATTGCATTGGAATTATATGTTTTGTTGCGTTCTAAAACTCACGTCGTTTGCAAAACATACGTAGATTTTTCGAAAAGAAACGGTTTGGTATGCATACATCCCAGTGATCTGCGTTTTTCGCAAATCCACCACCTAGGTCTTTACATATATTTTTGGAAAAAAAGGAACTACAACACAATAAATCTCATAATTCTAAAAGCAGAAGTAAATCAGAAGTGAGGTCTAAAAACGAAATCAGTATATGGTAATACAGAGAGTTAAATCAAGACAGAGGAAGCGATGGTCTCATGACCTGTATACGTGAATCACAGTTGTTTTGGCAAATCTCAACTTAGAAACACACCTCCCACCTCTTAGACCGATCACCAATAACTTTATAGATCCCATATCTAGGTTCGGAACATACCTCTTAGTTCAATAACAATGAGTAACCACGTTGAAAATTGTAGTTGAATCTCACAGTAATGATCTGGAGTCATTGCGATATATGCTACTTTCACGTAGTTTTTTTTTATGCTTATGCAGTGTAGTTCCTAATCTTTTAATAATATGACTTGCAACACTGCTTCAGTATTCACCCTAATGATTTGAAATCTTTAAATTGATGTAATATGGAAACTTGGTCCAAAGCCCTTGTACTAAGTTCTACTTTGCTTATAACCACACAGGTTTAGACAAAATAATGAGGTATGCTGAAGACTATCTGAGGTCCGAAAACCTAAAGACTCCATAGTTATGAAAGTTTCATTCTTTTAAAAGTATGCAAACAATGGCCTACAGATGTGCTTCTATGTGAAGATCCTTTTAGTGTATGGGATCACTCTTAACGCTAACTTACTTGGAGTTGTAGAGGCGTACTTTTTGTCGTCTTCTAGTAAATATTAAGGCTCGGTCTTTCGACCCGTTTGTAAATTTGGTAAAATTATTTGTGTAAACGACTATTCACAAGCTACCTTCCCTGTGCTCTAATTTTTCATCTTGAAATATCAAGGTTCTGGGTCATCAATTAACGGTATTAGATTATTTAAGAGGGGAAACGAGCAACGAGATAAAGTAGACGGTCTTCGTAACAATGCACAGTGTGTACTTTTGTAGATGCACCCCTTTTTAACACAGAATGTAGTAACTTTGAATTTTTGAATCGCAGTGCAGTGGTCTCAGATGCCATATTTTGCGACAGGTTACTAAAGGAAATGTCAGGTAATACATGAATAACCTAACAAGAAGTATTCTGGATTCCAAAAGTAACGAAGAATAAATACGACTACACTAGTGTGTATGGTTTGTACACATTCACACTTCGACTGATGGTCTTTAGAATTCTTTTAATTTTAAACTGGAGTCCAAAATCGTCCAGACTAATAATTTGATTTATTCAAAACATTACGCGAAGTTACTACAGAATTTGGTGGAATCTGTTTTGTTTATGGAGACATAGAATTTATTGTATAGGTGTAATGAATATCGGAAATTAATCTCATTTAACTTTTTCTGTTAATTACTGGATTAAATGATGAGAGTACTCTCTTGATACGTGAATGTATGACAGACTCTTCTATTAAACGTGCAGTCAACGTATGTGAATTCATTCTGAAACATTTGGCGCCACATGTTATACAAGATAGTTTCCGTCTGACTACTTTATAATTCAATGTAGGATAAAGCATTAAAAGCCAGTTTTATGTTAGATAAACTGTATTATAAAACTTATTTGAAGTGTTGGAGTAAAGATATACATGTAAACGCTTGAGGAACTTTTAAAGGTGTTTCCTGGAAAACTGACAAACGCTCATGAAAGGTTGGTCCACGTTCCTGTAATATCAAAATAATTAGTAAAAAGTAAAATGTCCGTTATGATATTTGTTTGCAGTCCTGTATATCTCGCTTCATGCCCAAACTTGTGAAATTCATTCTCAGCGTAGACCAGAGTTAAAACCTACTTAAGTGGATTGCCTAGTGTCTAATTTCCTACAATCTGCGTAGACCATTGCTTAAAATGTAATATTCATAAGTTGAGTAGTGTTTCACAAGCAACGTCGTCTTGACTTGGAACAGTGGTGAGATATTTGTTCACAAATATTTGAGGTTAGTAACAAAAATCTACGGAACCCAGCATTAAGGGGTTTATTTCCCCACTAGTTTGACAGATTCAGTGTTAGCCGAAGTTTTTTATAATAAAACCAACCACTCATATTTAATCGAACCCTTATTACGGGAGAGTACTCGTTCGTCGATTTTACTAAACAAAGTTCCATCTAAACACTCTCATGGTTAAGGGCTTTTTGATTTCACTTATAAAACTAAATAAGTAACTTAAGGAAATACTTTCAGCCCTATACTATAAATCTTTCAAAATAACTTAATGTAACTTACGTTTTGAAAATCAGGTTGGTTGCATTCTTTGAATAGCCAATTCATCGGCCTCTTCATTTTCTTCCATCGTATAGATATCTTTATCAAGTCGCCTTAAATTGACCAAACAAACGCGAACTTCCAGTCGGTAATCTTTGACATCATAAACTGGATTATCTACAGATGGTCAATACACACCACGTAATTATCAGATTGAAGGATAAATTAGCCACTAGGCATAACTTTCGAAAATATTATCACAGTAATTTATACGACTACTTAGTGTGGATGCTTGCCAATTTCTAATTAGTCGGTCAAAATAACAATAATTAAGCAGAGGATACGTTAGTAGATGTACAGTTTAACATTAAACTTATCGTTAGTACGTGCAAATAAGGAAAATACTGGTTTAGAGGAGCGTAATGGATGGTGGACAAAAAAAATTAAGGAAATTGGTAATATATTCTACGAAAAAAAGAGAATGCTGGGTCGGAGTCTAGTAGCTTAACTTAAGCCAGTCAAACTTTTTAGTAGACACTTCCTCCAATTTACGGTTCACTCATATGACTTTTCAACACGAAGTAACTTTATTAATCAATATCACAGACTGATCCTAACAACACCAATCACATACGTTTTATGTTTGGAAATCTTTGGTTCCAAAACTTCTAAATTAGATAAGTTCTTAATTTCGAGGTAGAAACATCTTTGGTGATCGAAATAATACTATTAGCGATATGTAAAAATCATGCTAAACTAAACAAATAAGGTGTCGAGAAGTCGTAGATGTAGTGTTATTGTTCCTAGCATAGACTCTGTAGCTTCGATCAAAAATAGTAGATTTCTTATGACTTCTAAAATAATAGCGAACATTGAACTAAGATCAGCTAGTGTCAAGCTAAATATAGAAAGTAAAGATATTTTGTCTTCATATTTACAATGTGAGTTCTTAAGATGCTTAAGTTTTAGGGACAAACTAGTAAACTTTTTTATTTCAGCGACAAGATTTAGGACTATCTCTGGAACTCTGATATCGTATTATTACGATATAAGATAACATGAACTCGTGACAATGAACATTTAATAATGAGATGTTTGATTTAATTTTGAATGTAGTTTCTAACTTGCGCAATTCGGGAAATGCTTGATCATTAGTTTATAATGATTATTAAAGGGAGGTATTATGTGTAAATATTTGATAAAGTTACCTGTTAAAATCACTGTACGTAAACACTGGAGGTTGGATAGTTTCTTTATTTCTTCTAAACTGCCGATTTGATTTTCCCTATGAAGTACATAAAACAGTTTCGTTACACTGACATGAGTAGTGTTTTCATGACCAGATATTCATTACATTTGAGATAGTGATTTCAAATTTCATTGCATAAATTCTGTCTCAAGAAGTGAAAACGTTTCTTAGTTGACCAAAAAACGTTTGGACAGTTCGCAAGCTTGTCTGGTTTCCTAAGCAAGTACATTTCTTTTGGTTAACACAACTGCTCAAATTAGAAAGTAAGGATTGGATTTTTGTAAAATCAGTAACAGTTGTGTTTCACAAAATTTATCTTATCCGTTCTTCATTATCATTGTATTTTAATGACATAAGGCCTTACATTGTGGATTGGTTAGGAATTAAAAAAAAACTATTGATATTAACATTAAACAGAATTTGGCTAATATATTTGATATAGTCGTATACAACCTTTGTAATACAGGCCCATCCCCGACCGAAGCTGCTACCTTGACGCGGTGGTCAGGCTTGCCTATCATGATGACACAACCGAGCCATATTGGCTGGAACATATGTTCCTGTAGGTTCTACCATGTCAGGCAGGTCGATTGGAGAACGGTAAGACTAAAAGCAGCAACTCAAGGTCTGGGGGCGAAGTCGTACTGCTGACTGTAGAGGGATGTGACAGCAGTAAGGTGTTTCCCTCAAACAACCAGCATCTGCAGCGATGCTGCCTTCCCACAAGGAGGGGTGGGGTGAGAAAAGGTCGACCCTAAAAATGTCACACCTCACCTTACCTCACGGATTTCCCTCTCCGGCGGTAAAGCCCTTTGAAGAACGGAGCTAACGCATTAGAAACCTTCCACGAAAAGGCCGTGCGCGACCGGCCTCAAGCAGTTGTCCCTTGGGCTCTGCGGTCACGCTCCCAGGTCGTCAAGACCAACACTAATCCAATTTCCTTTTCAGGTTCCTCAAGAAATACCCTTCCACGGTGTGGGCAGCCGGGAAGTGATATCAGCCCTCATACCCGTAACAGCACAAGAGACCAAGGTGGTCACATTCAAATCCTTCCTACACCTCCTAATACCTCTCTTATCTCCATGACTAACCCTCCTCACGTCTCTTTATCACCTCGCACCGCTAGGGCAAACGATTCGAGTACGTGGAACTCTATTCCTGGTCTCCTGAAACCACGCTCTAAACTACACGTAGGAGCTTTTAACGTACGAACACTTTGCCAAATAGGACAGCAGGCTTCCTTAGCTAAAACTTTAGAATCTCGCGCCATCGATGTGTGCTGCGTCTCCGAAACGCGCATACAGGATCCAAGTAGCGTCATTCATTTGACCTCACCATACCAAAATAAAGAACCGACTCGATTCACACTTCGTGTATCTGGAAGCCCTGATTCTGCTTCCCGTGGCCTCGCCGGCGTAGGTATAGCATTGAGTCCTAGGGCAGAATTAGCTCTCTTAGAGTGGATCCCAACTCCGCCTGGAGTCCCTCCGGGGGCTACTGCCGGTCCCAAGCCCGGATAAAGGAGGAGGGTTGGGCATGGGGTTAGCGTCCCCATCCCGTAGAAAACTAACTCGCTAAAAAAACGCTAACCAGAAAATTATTTAGAGTGGATCCCAGTAGACAGCTGTTGTGCGCTGTCCGACTGAACGGAACAGTAAGAATCCGGAAAGATAGGGACACTCGTCGTTGCCTCTTCGTCGTCTCTGCCTATTCTCCCACTGACTGCAGCTCAGATGATGTAAAAGATGAGTTTTACAGAAAGCTCTCCGACTTTCTTCGAAAACTAGGCGCTCGGATGTAGTAATAATGGCCGGTGACTTTAATGCTCAAGTAGGTAAACTAAGCGATAGGGAAAGACACCTAGGTGGATCTTATGGTGTCGTGGCTCAAAGAACAGATAATGGCGACCGTCTGTTGCAGCTATGCTCAGATAACCGCCTCTTCCTTGCAAATACTAACTTTAAGCATAAGGAAAAACATCTTTTAACATGGCAACCCCCTAATTCGTCCCAACGTTGGACCCAAATAGATCACATCGCTATCAGCCACCGATGGAGGGACTCGATAGAAGACTGTCGCTCATTTTGGAGCACATGCTTAGATTCAGATCATGCTCTAGTACGAGCGCGTATCTGTCTGCGTCTTACTGGACGTAGGAAAGACGCTGCAAGGAAACCTCTTAGGGCCCTATTTAATGATAGTCAAGCTAAGAGTATATTTCAGGAACAACTAGGAAAACAATTAGGCAGCCATGTATGTGATGCCCACTCCGATGCAGCGTGGAATGATATCCGAAAAGCTGTGGAAACAGCAGTGATATCTGCTAGTAAGGTAAACCGCAAGGTTAAGGAGCAACACTGGATCTCAGCAGCATCTATTGCACTGATAGATGCTCGAAAACTCATTGCACCTGGCTCTGAACATTGTGAAGAGCGGAGTCAGCTTAAGCGCAAGCTGACAAGAAGCCTACGCAATGATCGTGAACAGTGGTGGGTAGCGAAAGCAAGAGAGATGGAGAAGGCAGCGGCAATAGGTAATAGCAGACAATTGTTCAGACTTGTTAAGGAAACCGGTATTAGGAAACCGACTGTTAGCGAAACAATCTCAGAGAAAGATGGACACATTATACATTCTCGATCCAGGGGATTGTATCGATGGGCAGAACACTTTAGGGATCAGTTCAAGTGGCCTTCAGCCATACTTCGGTTTCCCACGATCTCCAGTCAACCTGAATGGCAAGTTAATGTAGGTCCTCCGACTCTTTACGAAGTTGAAAAAGCTATAGGAAATCTGAAGCGAGGGAGAGCAGCAGGCCCTGACAAGTTTACTCCTGAGATTTTTAAGGATGGTGGTTCAGTATTAGCAGTGAGATTAACTGAGGTCTTAGGTAGAATTTGGGAACCGGACGTAATCCCATCTGACTGGTCTCAATCACTGATTGTGCCAGTCTATAAGAAAGGACAAAAGTCCTCTTGTGACAATCACAGAGGAATCAGTTTGACAAATATAGTGTCTAAAATATTAGCTTCAATAATACTTCGACGCCTAACTAAAGCTCGTGAAGAACAGGCTAGAAAAAACCAGGCTGGTTCTCGACCTGGACGTGGTTGTATAGACCAGATATTCACACTACGTCAGGTCCTAGAACACAGACACACGTTCAGACGCCACACAATCGTAGTATTTCTCGATCTTAAGGCGTCTTTCGACTCTGTCGATCGTAAGGTTCTATGGCAGTGTTTGTCACTGAAAGGAGTACCAAAGAAGTACATTAACCTTATAAAGGCTCTCTACTCGAACACAACTAGCCGAGTCAAAGCTTATGGCGAACTGTCATCAGAATTGATTACCTCAAGTGGTGTTCGTCAGGGCTGTCCACTCTCTCTACTCTTGTTCAACTTTGTCGTCGACGTACTTTTAGAGATAACATTTTCCTCGTCTAGATTTCCAGGGGTTGAACTTCTATCGGGAGGTTCACTTGTTGACTTAGAATATCTTGATGACATAGTTTTATTTGGTGAAGACGCTGACAAAATGCAGAGTCTTCTGACCAATCTAAGCAACAATGCAAGCATGTTCAGAATGCGATTCTCCCCCCCGAAATGCAAAATGTTGCTTCAGGATTGGGTTGCATTGACACCCGAACTAATGATAGGGAGTGAAGTAATTGAGTGTGTCGATCGCTTCACTTATCTTGGAAGTCTCATCAGCTCTTGTGGTCTGGTGTGTGACGAAATCTCAGCACGGATACAGAAGGCTCGACTAGCTTTTGCCAACTTGCGTCATTTATGGCGTAGGCGAGATATCCGTCTATCAACCAAAGGACGGGTTTACTGCGCAGCAGTTCGTTCCGTCCTACTTTATGGCAGTGAAACATGGCCGATAAGAGTAGAGGATATCCGTAGGTTACTAGTATTTGATCATAGGTGTCTTCGAAGCATTGCTCGTATATCCTGGGACCACCGAGTAAGTAACGCAGTTGTAAGGAAACGGGTACTAGGTAAGGATGGCAAATCAATTGATGAAGTAGTGAAACTTGATCGGTTGAGATGGCTGGGACACGTTACGTATGCCCAACCACTGACTGCCTCGACGTGCGATGCTCAGTGGTATGGGAGTAGGTTGGAAGAAAGCTAGGGGCGGCCAAACCAAAACATGGCACAAGTCCATGAAGTCACTGACAAGTGGACTGAGTCATGTTGGTAGGTGTAGACTACATGGTTGGGGACCGCGAGATGATAGCAACCGATGGTTAGAGACCCTGAATGACATGGCTGAAAATCGTTTGAAATGGCGCAAGTGCATCCACTCTTTGTGTTCTCCCAAATTTTGATCTCCTTATTCCCCTTGTCTCTTTTTTCTCTTCCCAAATTTATTTCACTGTATTATACTCTTTAAGTAACATCGCCAAACACTAATCTTCCCGATTACTGCTTTTACTCTTATTACCTCTACCACTAGGGAATTTGAATCGACCACTGCATCTCTGTGCTAACGTGGTGTGGCAACTCGAACTGATGTACGTACTTACGAAGTTCTACGTTGTTAATGACTGACTGACTGAATGCAGGCCCTGTTGGTTCTTTATCTTTGACTATGACAACAGTACACTTCACGTGCTAACATTACATCGAATATCACTCTGACTGGTCAAATGTGTTGTCCAAAATTCATAATGCAATGAACGTCGAGACTTTCAGCCTCAGTGTAAGCAATGGTACTTTTTATATTGAGCTAGTTAGATTATGAAGAGAAGATACAATCCAAAGTCATTCTGTAATTGGACGAAATCCAGTCTAATTATTCAACCAATCAGCATCAGTGTCCTTGAACCACATTGGTCATTAGTCATACAGTAATTTTCATCACAGGTGCTGATTGGAAAAAAAATGACTCTCCCGTCCGATCGATTACAGCTGCTCTTTGAACGACATTTGGAGTTATTAGTCAAATTCCGCACGCAGCTGCTAAATCACTCATGCTATGAAAACGCGACGGAAGTGGATGGATTGATATCTCAATTACACAGTGAGCTGGAAAATGACAACAGCCTCGGATATATGAATCATTATATTTCAAACATACTTTGTCTATATACCAGTCAAGCAGTCCACAACGTACCATAAAATAGAAGATAACATTGTACAATAATGGCCAACAGGAAAATAACACGTTAATTAATATTGACCAATAAGATGAAACTATTTCATGTCCAAGGATAGCATTAGGCTTAACAGGATAATTTTTGGGATATTTTCCTGAATATCCCAACACCTCCCTTTTTTGGAGATCCGGAGTTGATGTCCGGATTTTAAATTTTTTCCGCGTCTATCCTCCCCCGCGAAATAATGTTGGGTCTTCATAAACCCAAATTACAATTAATATGATTGTATTTAAAACATATTGCACAGGGAATCCAGTAAAATCGATCAGATATTGAGGATAAACACCACTCAATTCGAAATCATCAGAGTTCAAATCTTCTGAGAAATTGTTGTCAAATTTATAAGGAGCATCATTAGTATATAATGGATGATTATGTTAATCCGCGTCCAACAAAACTGTGCCAGGTTCTTGATTATTAGTTGATGCGTGAAACACATTTTCCGGCAAAACAATGGGATCTTCTCGTGAGCTGGATACGTTGCTGTCTGTACATGCTGTTTCAGGGATAACGGAGTTCGAATCCATTACCGGGCATGTTTCTGAAATGGAAAGTACTGGACCACTGGGCGCATCATGGATGGCTGTCGTTTCGTTCGAAGTACAGTTAATCGAAGATTCATGGAGACTGCTGTCAGTTTTGTTGGACGCCGATTATCATAATGATCCACTACTTACTAAAGATTTAAACCCTAATGACCTCAGATTTACTGTCGCTGATCCTCACCATCTAGTCAGTCCTAGTGGACTCTCTACTCAACGCGGGAAATATGCTTCAAATAGAGTCACACTAACTGTTCCTTGGGTATATGAGGACCCAACATTATTTCGAGGGGGAGGATAATTTATGGGATATTTTCCTGAATATCCCAACAGATTATTTGTCAGAAATTTTTGATATAACAGGGCACAAAAGATATCTCTCAGTTGGTGACAATATTTTTAAAATCTGGACCTGTGCAACGTTTTAGTAAGTTTAAAAAAGGATTCGTGTTGTATCTCAAGGTGTTTTAAAATTGATATATATATATATATATATATAAGCTTATCGGTAGTTTATATATTATTAGCAAACACAAGCCAGTTACGCGCACCTATGATTTGGCGATTTGTGTTTGCCCCACTGTTTCAATTTGTAATAGTAATCAAAAGAGTTGTGAAAGTTCTAATAGGTAGTTTCGTTTTTGGTATAAACAATACTTCAATAGTTTTTGTTTGAAATATTAGTTTTTATCACTCCAGGCATTGTAATGTATGTGATTATTTTAAGACGCTTTTCAACGTTGAATTCAACTTATATTACATCAAGGCTGGAACTGCATTTCACCTATCTTAGTTCCATAACTTGCTAGCATAACTCCTCTTTGCACAAAAAATGTGCCACTGAAAACCAGGTATACAAATTTGGACATCTTTCTCATACTCTCATGTAGTACATTTTATCTGACTTACCTAACATTTAAATATTCTAATCTTGGTAAACATTCAGGTGTTATTCCATCCAGATTGATTAACCCACTACTTCTTATGTGTAAAACAGATAGATTTGGAAGATATCCAATTAGGGAATTGTAATTATAAATTTGCCCTTTTTGATCATTAGTAGTGTATTTTAGTTCATTTGGTAAATTTTGTACATTTCCATTTTTTAATTTATAATTTCCAAAACTAATTAGTTTGTTATAACCAAGATATAATGCTTTTAGATTTTTCAATTCTAATCCAATTGCTATATTGATATTAGAATCAGTTATTGTAGCGTCTTCTACCTCAAGTAAATTATGTGATAATCCGAGAGTATGCAATTTCGGTACACTATAATCATTTAAATAACATGATCCATCAGTTTGACTGGTCAAACTACGTAACTGATTATCTGTTAATAAACATAGCAAAAATAAAACAAAGATAACGATTTACGATTTTGAGCTATATTGTTAAGATTTTACTTAGATTAATTGAAATTTTATTAATCCAGATCAACCCATTTTGCAGATAATTTTGATTACATTTTTATATCAATCGGAGTTCTACTGATAATTGGAGAGTAAAACAGATATCTCGTTTTCAATTTTATCTTGTCATTCAAATAAGTTAAATTTTTCCTATGTATATAACAGGACACACTAACTAAGCAATTTACTTTATGTATGGGAGTGTTTTAAACCAGTTTATCAAATATAGATTGTGAATGTATTTTGAAACTTTTCTGATCAGACTAGGTTGGAACCAAGAAAAACAATGATATGGGGATTTACTTCTGACGACCAATGAAGAAGTGTCCAAAAAGAGACTAATATGATACCAAAAGTTGCTTAGAAGCTACAAAGTCGTTTTTGCTGGATAAGAGAATAATAACTCAATTTTCATTCCTTTTCCGGTCCCAAAATACAGTTGTGGAGATAGGCATGACAAATTTATTTTGAAAATAGTTTTCGATGTTATAATTATTTATTCTGTAGTTTTTCACAGCCTGTAAATTTATCATTAAGCGATCGTACGTGTTGTTTAAGTGCATGAACTTGAACACACTTTCTTCCGTCGTGTTACACCCATAGCATGACACACGCTGTTATCTACTAACAAATACACTACTATACACATACCTCTTGTTCTCCATTGCTCGTGATTGTGATAACTGAACTATAAATCACCCACTATCTACATTTGTAGACTGCAGCCAAATTTATATTATATTCTATGCTTGGCTATATCCATGCAAGGACAACAATCTTACTGGAACCACCAACCATCTATAATTGTGGACTCTGGTACCAAACTCAACCTGAACACGCACAAACCAGCTGAACTAAGTAACGTGCCTAATTTTTATTGTGTTTATAACGTTTAACTGATATATATTAACATTACTGTTTGTACTCAATAACTTTGTTATTATTTTTGAGTTCATATATTGTTTGGTCCACCACAATTATCTGGTGAGCCTCGAGTCTATTCTAGTCGTTATATTGCTTATATTTTTTACTTGACACATTAGTTTATTTTTCATATAATGTACTCGCCAAACAAACTAATTGACATGGACTGTCCTCCGGTAAATTCTCTTAACTCATCACATTCCGACGATAATATTTTAAGTTCAGTTAACGCCATTTCTGAATTCAGACTACCTGCATACGGAGCTAACAACCTGATGATTTGGTTTGCCCAAATAGATGCCTTATTCATAGCTAGAGGTATACGCTCCCAGGCAACCAAGTATGCCTACGTTGTCGGTGCACTTCCTATTGTCCTGGAGGACAGTCCATGTCAATTAGTTTGTTTGGCGAGTACATTATATGAAAAATAAACTAATGTGTCAAGTAAAAAATATAAGCAATATAACGACTAGAATAGACTCGAGGCTCACCAGATAATTGTGGTGGACCAAACAATATATGAACTCAAAAATAATAACAAAGTTATTGAGTACAAACAGTAATGTTAATATATATCAGTTAAACGTTATAAACACAATAAAAATTAGGCACGTTACTTAGTTCAGCTGGTTTGTGCGTGTTCAGGTTGAGTTTGGTACCAGAGTCCACAATTATAGATGGTTGGTGGTTCCAGTAAGATTGTTGTCCTTGCATGGATATAGCCAAGCATAGAATATAATATAAATTTGGCTGCAGTCTACAAATGTAGATAGTGGGTGATTTATAGTTCAGTTATTATAATCGGGAGCACTCTTTAAACAGTCTGAGTGAAATATCGCGCATGATAAGTTACCGTGTACCTGAAGTGCGATACTGGCTGAAATAGACTTACGTTGACTAGAAACTTAGGATGACTAGATAAAAACAGCAAAAGTCAATAGAACAACTGGTTGTAAGGTTTAGAAATTTGCAGTATATAGTTGAAGTTTCTTGAATTAGTCACTGGAAAGTAAGTTCATGTTGATCAGAGTAGGACAGTAAATTCCTCAACTACTTATTTATTTTTAATGATAATCTATGCTCTAGCTTAATCAGAATCATTCCAATGTGTAATTTATTTCATCGATATTGTTTACCATAATACTAATAATAGTAAATGTATACGTTTACTTTTGAGACATGTGTAGTTTGAAAAGATATCTGGGAATACCTGGGTAAGCCAAAGAAAAATGAAGACAACTCAGCGAAAATTTTCTTTTCGACAAAAACATTTACTTAGACTGTACATTCGTATTTATACTTACTTGGTAAGGATATGAGATAGAAAAGATTGTATTACAAAGTGATTCGATATTTCAAATACCAAAAGGGTTTGTGTAATAATCAGAGGGTCAATGAAGAACAAGATGAAAATAATCCTGGCCCGTAGACTACTTTCATCCTCCTCTTCTTACCCTCTGATTATTACACAAACCCTTTTGGTATTTGAAATATCGAATCACTTTGTAATACAATCTTTTCTATCTCATATCCTTACCAAGTAAGTATAAATACGAATGTACAGTCTAAGTAAATGTTTTTGTCGAAAACAAACTTTTCGCTGAATTATCTTTGTTTTTGTTCAACGACACCTGATTAAATAATTGTTTAATGTTTTCGAGTAAATTGTGTCGACATGAATGCCCTTAAACCCTGATATGTCATAATTCATGACTTAATATCGCTTTGACATTTTGTACCATAGGGAGAAAAGAGTTTGTTTGAATATAAAAAAGCCTGAAAAGACCATTAACATGGATTTAAATGAGACTTAGTGCATATTGTAAAGGAAACATTTTCAATACGAGAACCAAGGGACCTACAAAATCTGTTCGATTCTCTCAGAATGACTGCTTTAACTGAGCTTCCAAACGCTCCAGTCAAGACTGAGTATGGAGAGTCAGCTCTTTCTCGAAATACTCTCACATGACCACGCGTATATCGCCGCTGCCAGGGAAATCCTACTTACTACCTTCTCGTGGCGTGGGTGTTTTTTATGAAATTGGGAGGACTAAAAGCGAATGTTTGGTTCTTTAACCGGGTTGGTGGATACAGAAGACCCATTTAAGTGAGTTGGGAAACCATGATTTCAAGCCAGTGGTGCATATGGGCTCCAGGATCTTAAGGGATCAAGGGGCGTATGAACCAGTTGTTGGTCACCGGCTACCATGGGACTGCATCTCCTAACGTTTCTCCACTGCCTTGTGGATTAGACCGTTAGGTCAAAGGCTTGAAGAGTGGCCCTCTAAGGAAACGACTCGCTTCGGTTTGGGCATCCGGGCTGTATCCCAGCCCACACGCAAATCAGTTGGTTTGTGTGGAGCATATATATTTGGTACCTCCTTGTGCTAATTTTTAAGTGTTTAAAGAAATAAATAAACTTTAACCGACAGCCTGACGTTTTAGGGAATCATATTTCGCCACTCAATAGACACAGTTACCTAGTTTGCTCAGATCGTCCACTATTGACAAAGCAGTCTGAGTAGGTAAAATAACTTGCTTTAGTGCCGTAAGATGATCTGTGTATTTGACAGAGATATTTTCAGTAGAAAGAAGGTCCTCCTAAAAAGTATGAAGAGTTTCAAAAAAATGGCGTCAGTGAGTCAAGTTACGGAGCACTTTCTCACAAACGGCATGTTGCTTTCTGATTAATAATATCTGGAAAATTGATCATTCTGCATCGAGGTTTTATCATGAGCTTATTAAATTTCAATGGTGCTAAAATAGTGATAATAGTGTGTAAACATAGATCAAACATACTCATCACCAATATCTAAATTAGCTGAGACATTATGCCGAGAAATAATAGGATTATTCAAATTGTTTGCTTTGTGTTTGTAACCAGCAAAGGTTTGCTTGCAGATGATATTCGTTTTAAAAAATAATGTAACTATCTTCACATTTTGGTATTCATATCTTGTTAAAACACAAAAGGACCTGGATACTCAGTCTTAATTTGTTTCCATAAAATTAAAAGACAATCTATTATGAATTCGCTTATCATGACCCAGCTACTCTTATTACTTGGTAATCTTGGATACTACTTCATTCGACAAATCCTCAAATCAGAACACGGTTGAACAGGAAACTAATCATATTTCAAATAACAAGGTTGGCTGGAAGTAGTGATACCAATGAGAAAAGCGTAAATATATATTTTTAAAATAAGAAGATTCTCGAGTCTTCTCTAAGTATCCGTATTCGTTAAGAAATAGCCCTGCACGTAATATGCATTAATTCTATCTATATTTTCGCTAACACGATGATTTAAAAACACCGATTAAAAGGTCCAATTGAAGTACAGTTTAAGTTATTGGCACACTTAATGAATAAAACACTTAGCGTATTGCGAGTCCCAAAATATTATTTTCAGCCTCAACACACATTCTCTTCTGAATTCTTAGTCGAAAAGATAATGAAAATTTAGCGTGTAGAGAGATAGTTTTGTCGTCAAATGAAGTAATTTGATTTCGTAAAAAGATTATCTAATAGTGTATCTACTACTCATTATTAATAATAACAATAAGGCGCACTTCATGTTAAATTATTCACCAGAGAAGAACTATTCACGATCTTAAGTATGGTTAGTAGTGATTATTATTTGTATGTTATCCGATTTCATTACTTACAAATAGTTAGAGTTAAAAATTAGTTATCTCAGCTATATTAAACATTAAAAAATGCACAGTAAACGTCTCGGTTAATGAAGAAGTATCTGGAAAAACCAAGCATAGGGTTAGTAGATAAAATTCAAATGAAACTGTAGGATTATAATTTTGTGATTACTTTCAAACTGAGTTAGTAGTTTGTGATTGTTCTACGCGTATTTTGGGTGTTTGTACAATAGGAATTAATCAGCTGCAATACGATGTAAAAATGAAGTGAGTTATTTAGACTGATGATAAAATACGGTAAAATAGCAAAGCTTGGAAAGTATTATCCAAGTGTAGACACACGTACAAGTTAGAAACATTTATCACTGGAGACAAACTGAATTTCAGTAAATTTTACCACGTAATAAAACTTACTGTCAAGGAATAGAACCAACAATCTCGGGTAATTTACAGTTGTCAGCCTTTTAATACAATTATTTCTTAAGTCTAAGTGTGTTAACGTGGGCCAGTTTCCACAAGGAAATTCTTCTATTTCATTATATGATGCTCTTAACACAATCAGATTGTTTAAACCATATAATGCTCTTAAATTAGTTATACGATTGAATCCTACGTTAACGTAGCGCAAAAATATAAACCCCTTCAGTGCATCGATATTCGTTAGCAATCTGTAAGAAAAATAAATTTCATATTTATTACGTTTTAATTTATTATATTCTATATAATACGGTACAATGGAATATAGCAGTTGGCAAAAAGTACATATTTAGACCGAGATTCAGACTGAAGTGAAATAATCTTATACCATTGACCTGAGATAAGTCTGTATATATGAAGAATATTCTCTATTAGTTCCAATGATCAGTCATATACGACCTAAGTCTTGGTGAATAGTGCACATCACGTGAAGTTACAACACTTCTGTTGACAAATAAACAAAACGTAAAACAAGCAAGAAGTCAGAAAGGGAAATTAGCGAAAAGATTAGTACTAACAAACGAAAATAGAAAGTATTATCCTGCTCTGAACATTAAAGTGATACTCTGAAATTTGTAATTTTCCTAAAGAGGTGTGAAAGAATGTTTTAAATAAATCCAGTCCTATGAAATCTTAGAATATTCATTGGTTCATTTTATGCATGGAAGTGAAGTTTTGTTGTCGGTGATTGGAATCATATAAAAGTTTATTGGCAATAAGCGCTAAATCTTGAAAATAATATATTCCGTCAATTAATCAAAGCGACAAAGCTCATAAAAACTGGGTTACAAAGTGGCGAGACTATATTTTGAAGGTTCCTTTTAACAAACCTTACCCCAAGAAATATGCTTAAGATTGATTAGTGCGTAAAATATAGGGAATACCTGTTTCTTCACACGTTCCATTTGAGCAATTCAAAAAATACTAATTGATCTGTATACGAAAATAAATGTGCGGATCGGATATAGACATTTGGTAAGTTCCCATTGACAGAACCAAAAATCTTCTAGGTGGTCATATGTTTTCAGAGTAAATTTCAAGGACATTTTGTGCTTTAGTTCTTTATGTTAAATGTCAAGAAGTTTAACATAATGGTGACATTTCTGTCTCATTATGAAAACTTACTATTTACAAAGTTAAATTATTGATATGAATAGGTTTCTGATTAAGGAAATCCGGATTTACGCGTGTTAAGTCTTGATCAAATAGATGACTTCTCCTATTGCAATATAAATAAAAAATGCAATATATGCTGAATATCGGTGCAAGTTAGTTGTGTATCATATAAATAAGAATAATTATAAGTGGTGCTTAACATAATCACATCTGACTGATCGCGACCACTATTGTCCCAATATATAAGAAGGGGTCAAAATCATCCTGTGACAACCATAGAGGGATTAGTTTGACTAACATAGCACCTAAAACACTAGCCTCAATGATTATCGGCTGCCTGAATAAGACTCGTGAACTGCAAAGACGAGAGAATCAAACTGGCTTCAGATCTGATCGTGGCTGCATAGACTACATATTCACCATTCGTCAGGTTCTAGAACACAGGCATGCTTATCGGCGTCCGACAATGGTGGTCTTTCTTGACTTAAAAGCAGCATTTGACTCTGTTGATCGCGAAATTCTGTGGCAGTGTCTGTCATTGAAAGGCGTACCTCGGAAGTACATAAACCTTGTGAAGGCTTTTAACTCGAACACTACCAGTCGAGTCATAGCTTATGGAGAACTGTCATCTGTTTTTGCGACCTCAAGTGGTGTCCGTCAAGGTTGTCCACTTTCTCCATTTTTGTTTAACTTCATCATGGACCTACTGATGAAAACAACGTTCTTGTCGACTGAATTTTCGGGTATTAATCTCCTACCAGGAGGTCCACTTATCGACATAGAATATGCAGATGATATAGTCCTATTTGGTAAAGATGCTATTAAAGTGCAGTCTTTTGGTAACACTGATCAACAATGCCAGAATGTTTGGGATGCGTTTTTCTCCTTCTAAATGCAGACTGTTGCTTCAACACTGGCCTGCGTCAACACCTGAACTATGGATAGGGAGTGAAGTAGTCGAACGCATTAATAACTCCACTTATCTTGGAAGTTCTGATCAGCCCAAATGGGTTGGTGTCTGACGAAATTTCAGCACGAACTCGGGAATCTCGTTTGGCTTCTGCCACCTTACGTCACTTATGGCGAGAGCGAGATATCCGTCATTCAATAAAAGGACGAACATACTGCGCGGCAGTCCGTTCTGTTTTACTTTACGGCAGCGAAACATGGCCTTTAAGAGTAGAAGACGCTCGTTAGCTATTAGTATTTGACCACAGATGCCTTAGAAATATTGCTCGCATCTGCTGGGATCACCGGGTAAGTAATAGTGAGGTTAGACGCAGGGTATTAGGGAATGATGGTAAATCAGTTGATGAGGTTGTGAATTTTCATCGACTGAGATGGTTGGGCCATGTGTTACGTATGCCTGAACATTGAGTACCACGACTCACAATGCTGACTAGCGTTGGAGACTGAGTGACATAGCTCAAAATCGATCACAATGGTGTAGATGTATACATTCTCTCTCTTCCTTTAAACTATGGGATTGAAGTCGTTTCATATCTTTTTCTACGAACTAATTCCTTCTTCTTGGTATATGTTCATATATGCAACCTTTCTCTTATATATTACCACCAGTGAATTAACTACTTGTATGAATCCGGTGGTCATCCTGCTGTGCTAATGAGGTGTGGTAGCTTTGACCGATGCATATATGTGCCTGATCCTACGCTGTAGCTGACTGACTGGTGCTTAAAAGTGTGTTTGAAAATCTACATGCTCAAGAAAAAAAGCGGGTAATCTTTTAATTTGAAAAAAAGTTAGTATAAACTCATACTGCATTTTCATTCTTATGGTTTTTCAATAATAAGCAATGGCAAATCAAACAATGACGATGAATTATACTGCTAATATGCCAAAATTAATAACAAATGCGTCAAGTGCTCAAGCAGCTATAAAAGAACGATTCTAAACTAAAAGCAACCTGATATCTTGAACAGTTCGTTGCAAAGAGTTTATAGTTTGTTAGAGATGAAAGTGACAACTCGATATATGTATATATATAATATACTCGACTTTAATGAGATGAAAACCTGCTAACGGCAATTCGCTTGGTCTACTGCACACCACCATGATCATATTCTCATGAAAATTAGATCGAATCATAAATAACTGATGTAAGATCCTTGATAAGAATGATTAGTTACCAAATGGCAACCAACAACTGCGCAAGTATTGAAGATAAGGAGTGAAGTATTTTACAAACTATTTATATTGACCTGCCAAGCTAGTTATGCAAGGTTTATGATCAAATTAGCAGTGTTAGTTTTACGTAATTATTGAGAACATACGGCGGCCGATAATAAATTCCATTTTTCAGTAAACTAAGTTGTTTCGTTAATACGTTTGGTTTCAGTATCGTTTCCGTCACATAAAGGACTAATTTGGTGTACGAACATCAAGCATCTGCAGTTACTCGAGTATTTTGAAAAAAGATGGCGCTGTGAATCTCTGACAGCAACGTTTATTGTAGTTTTTTGTTCTATATTTTTTTCGGAAAGCAGTATTTGACACTAAAATCAATTCCCAAAAATATTGTTCAAATGACTAGATCGCTAATAAACAAAAATGTTATCAGTATACCTTAAAATAATCGTAGATAATATAAATATAGAAATAGTTATACATTTAGCGTTACATCTATAGTATCTTTATCGATCAGATATGGCATAAGAGTTAGAATACACATGTCTTACCTGTCATTGCAAATAAATTTAGCTGGGGCATATGATAACCCGTCAATTGTTTCGTTTACATAACACAAACTTGAACTTATTATTTCTTTGTTCAAAGATACTGATTCCGATGATTTTTCTGTAACGCTTACGTGTTTCGGCGTTAGCTCAGAAATGTCAAATAAATAATGTTACCCATTGCTCTGATCGAGTTCAATTCTTGGATTTTGATTCTCAGTAGGCTGAATTGTTTGCATATTATATACTCTCAAAGTTTTCCAAAATTTATATAAATGTAAACTAAATTACCAAAACGTGATAAATAAATATATTTAGTGAAACAGTGACTAAAAAATATCTTCTAGAACCACAAAGCAACAAAATATCATATATTCAACATAGACATCAGTTATCTTATAAATTATGTACTCAGACTGCTTCAAAACTGGTAAACAGATCACTTTGTTTGAAGTATACTTTATGAAATTCATCGCACTTTGATATTAAACAACTTAGCTGAGTGATGATCATAGTTTGAAAGCTCTTTGAACCACGTGTTAAATAAACACAGGAAAGCTGAATTTCAACAATCAAATTGAAGGCTAATTTTTAACTGACTTCAGTCGACTATAATAATAAGTGTCATTTATAGAAAAGACTACCTTTTCTACTATTGTAATGAATAAGGACACGAGCGGGAACAATCGAGTGTATATGATTACAAAATTACAGAGCATCTCACTAAAACCGGAGAACCATGTAATAAATCGTTAATTTGCAAAATATCAATCTATCATCTCAAACATCAATCCATTGTCTCAGATCTCATTGTTCATGCGTTTTCATACCGATTGCGTTCCGTTCCCATTCTTTCCTCATCGACCTTCTACTGAAATATATTCTCTGACTGATTACCGTTATATACTACTTGTGTGGATATAAGTAACCCACACCACATTGTCACCCCCTCTCCAGAACTTTAAGGGAGCAAGATATAGGTCCGATTTTGACAGTTAGCCGGGACACTAAGAATAACTAACAGACGGAAATGATCAAAGCTTACGATATTCTTCGTCTTATCCGAAAAATAGCTAGGCATTTAAACTCATGCTCACTACGTGACAATATTCAAAACTGACCTCTGTTCCTATATAGATACCAACAACGCTGTCCCAACACCACGTCCTTAGAAAAAGAAATGAGTATCTTGTGACAATTACACAGGAGCGCTACGAAGTTGTCCAAAAGGTTAATGAATATGTCGTGTAAAAACAACTTATCTTCAATTGTTCGTGCTAAGTCGCAGGAGAGAAAGAGGCGATCTGACAATGGAATGCAAACATACTAAGCCTCCTGACAATCCAGATAAAAACATTCAACCCGAATCGCAGCATCGCACTTGATGAGGCTACTTACAACGAATAGTACATCAGAAAAACATTATTTAGATAACATTTTAGATCTCATAATGCAGTGAGTACAGACTTTTAACTGAATAGCCTTAAAAGAATGCTGGATAACCATGTACTCGCCCATGAGTTACTGTTCCATCCCTACAATAGTTGTGTCTGACCCACGTCTTAAACGCTATCATTACTGCCACTTTTATCTCAATTGTTTTCATCAGTATCATTAACATTACTCATAACCATTACTCATATTATTATCGTCAGATCTCTGCTTAAGCAGAGTAATTACTCTCGCCTATGTCAAAGAAGGTTAACCCTATTTGACAGATATAATTACATCTGTTACTCTTAGACATTTTTTTGTTCAAATTGACCTCACAAATCACCAGTCAACTCGAAGGATGATGTTCTTTTTGCATCTCAAAATACTATAAGATTGAAGATTATATATATATATGTTTCCAAAATTACTGGTTTTGGTTAAGGATTGATTGAGAGCGAAGGTACGTTATTTTGCATATCAGACATAATTCTAGCTTGTATAATTAATTTTATAGAAATATACAACTTTTTATTAAACAAATATACTTCCTATCATTTTACTTTGATGAAGATAAGGAATTTCTAATTTAAGAGAATCATTTGCCTTTATATCCAACAAATACGTAGGAGAAAATATTATTATTTGTGTTTTTCAACGTACCAACCCTGAACTCAAAAAATCACACTTTGTAACTATAGTGAAGATGTATTCAGTTTCAGTTTCAGTTTCAGTTTGGGAAGGACAGGAGGCTCGATGGCCTATGTTAGTCCTGGCAATGGTGGTCTCTCAGTTGATCCAACTTTCTTTTAAAACAGTCGACGGATGGAGCCTCAACCACGTGCTGAGGTAGTGAATTCCACTCGTTGATGATTCGATGGGAAAGTCGATAGTCAGCTGACAAGTAATTTGTTCTCGGCTTATGAACTTTTTTGGAGTGTCCTCGTAAATTCTCTGTTTTGGAAGACAAGAAAAATGAGGGCATATCAGGTGCAAATTTATCACTAAGCAATTTGTAGACTGTAATCAAGTCGCCTCTAGTTCTGCGATATGACAACGGGAAAAGGTTCAGCTTGGCCAGTCGAGATTCATACGGAAGCTTCGCTATTGCGGGAACCAGCTTAGTCGCCATTCTCTGAACCTTTTCCAGAAGCTCTCTGTCTTTTTTAAAGCAGGGGCTAGCCGCTTGTATGCAGTACTCAAGTTTAGGACGAACGAACACTGTATACAAAGTCAAAAACGTCTTAGTGTCGACATGACTAAAAGCCCTACGTATTGACCATAACGTTCTAAAACTTTTGGCGGCTATTGCACGGCAGTGTGCAGTAGTCTTTAAGTCTTGACTAACGATAACTCCTAAGTCATTATATGTCTGGACGACAGGTAGCTCAGTGTTATTCATCGTGTATGTATCTGTGCCTTGATGACCGATATGCATCACAACACACTTGGAAGTATTTATCGGCAACTGCCATGTTTGAGACCATTCAGATAACTTCTTCAGGTCATTTTGAAGTTCTAAGCTATCACTCTTACATCGTATCGTTCTCCATATCTTGACATCGTCAGCATATAGCAAGACCGATGATGATAGGAGACAAGGAAGATCATTTACATATAAGAGGAATAGCACTGGCCCCAAAACTGTACCCTGGGGCACTCCACTAAGCACAGTTTCCCAGCTAGATAACTTTGAGTTCACCCTTACTCTTTGTTGACGCCCAACTAAGAAGTCTTTTATCCACATCAATAAATTACCTCCAATCCCGACATGTCTTAACTTATATAACAGCCGGTTGTGCGGAACTTTATCAAAAGCTTTACTGAAATCAATGAAGGCGACGTCTACAGGTAGCTTTTGGTCCTTAAGAGCACACCAACTTTCACGAGCCACTAATAAGTTAGTGAGACAAGAATAACCTATTCTGAAGCCATGCTGCTTCTCCGAGAGGATCCGGTTTTTATCGAGATACTTAAACAGCTCCTTCCGAATAATCTTTTCTAATATTTTAACAACCACACTAGTTAGGCTAACGGGGCGGTAGTTCTCAGGTTTGTGTTTCGTGCCTGTTTTGAAGACAGGACTTACTATGGCGTTTTTCCAATCTTTCGGTAAGCGACCCTGCGTAACGGATAGGTTGAAGCATGTACTTAAAGGGTTCGCAACGAAGTTAGATAATTCCTTCAGTAGCCTAGGATGTAATTCATCGGGCCCCGTGGATTTACCTATGTCAAGCTTATTTAGCAGACCAAAGACATCGAGTTCTTTAATGGTCACGCTATCCAGTGTATGTATGGGGGGATCTGTATACGCTGACGAGAAGGGCGCTTCTATGGTATACACGTTGCTAAAGTAGTTCGAGAACGCTTGAGCCTTACCAAAGTCGTCCTCCACTAGTGATGAAGCAGTACTGTCTCCCCATAGAGCAGGAATATTACCTTTTCTCCTTGTCCTTTGGTTTATATAGGAATACAAGCGTTTAGGACATTCTATGGATTCCTTAACAAGTTTTTCTTCGTACAATTTTCTAGACTTACGGAGGGTCGAGGCACAAGTGTTCCGAGCCTTTCGATACTGAGATTTTGACTCATCAGTCCCCAGTAACCTAAATCTATCCCACGTTTTCCTTTTCTTACGGAGAAGGATACGGACCTCCCTACTGAACCATGGTGGTGAGTTTTTCGGCCCCTTTGGTATAGTCCAAGGGATGTGAGGTGTGGTAACTTTTAAGTATGATTTTCGAAATGTGTCCCAGGCCGTTTCAATGGAGGACTCTGGGTCTATTGTCCAATCTATTAACGATGCTGAGTGCATGATTTCTGGTATGTTTGCTTTCCAGACGTTGGGTCTGGACTGGACTGACGCGTCCTCATGACTGGCAGTTATATGGAAGTCGAAAGTTAAAACTGCGTGGTCACTTTTACCTAAGGGTGGCATATGGTGGAGGTTCGCAACATCATCCTCATAGTGAGTCAGTATAAGATCTAATAAGGATGATTCAGTGTCCGGGTCGTACCTAGTCGCTTCTTTCACATGTTGCACTAGGGCACATGTGATAACCGCATCAACTAGTTCCTGCTCAAAGGAATTTTCTGACGATTCAGTTCGCAGATTTTCCCAGTCTAACATTGGTGCATTAAAGTCCCCTAGGATTAGACATCGACCACTTTGGGACCAAGTATTGAGACTGCTTAACAGGATCTCATTTGCCTCACAGCTTGGACTGCGATAGACCAAACCAATCAGCAGCTCTTGTCCCTTGCATTTTAAGCGAAGACTAACTAACTCGCATGTCCCACTCTCATGGGATACACTATCGATAATGGTAAATGGGATAGCATTCCTAATGAATAGAGCTACTCCCCCTCCTTTGCGCTTTTGTGTTCTGTCGGCCCTTACTAACGTAAAGCCCTCGAAATCAAGTTCTATACTATCTATAGCCTGTGTCAGCCAGGTTTCTGTTACTGCGATTATATCTGGCTTTATAGAGTCAATCTGTACACCTAGTTCCGATCGCTTATTGAGTAAGCTTCGTGCATTGGTGTAACAGATCCGAAGCCTGTTTAGGTGCCTTCGTGCTTCACCCAGAGTGGCTTCGGCATCATTCTCTGTCGAAGTCTTACAACCCGAAAATTTACAATTTTCAGGTCCTTTTCGCCAGCGTCTAACCTATGTTGTAGTTCTTTCTCGGCTTCCCGTCTTTTAACACGGTCTGCCAACGGTAGGTCCTTTCGAATAAAGACTCCCGAACCCTTTAATTTGTGTCCATTTTGTAAAATTAGGTCACGTTCGTTTGAAGAGCCGAATACTACTTTAAGCAGTCTGGAATGATTTGGTTTCGAGTCCGTTAGACTCCCTAGTCTATACACCTTTAGCAAGGTGACCCCAGTCATATTTTGAGGCATGAGTTGATTAAGCAGCTGCCTAATCAGTACAATGTCATGCTCAAAACGAGCTTTAGGTTCAGAGCTATCGCTCTCCTTAATTCTATGAAAAATAGCTGATCTGTCGCTATGATCAGCTTTCGATTTTTCAACCACTTTTACGGGGGCAGGTTTCCCTTTTATGTCAATACTTTTCTTCCTTACAACCTTTACCCATTCGTTAACGCTGCTGGTAGAAGCAGTAGCAGTTGCGTCAAAACTAGTGTTGGGTTTTGGGGGGTTGTCGACGACCTGAGGGGTCGTGTTATGTTTACCAGTCGAAACCGATCGAGCCTTGAGATTGCGGCTCCTAGGTGTTTCCTGTTGGATCCCATCTGGGAGACGGGGAACAGAAGACCCTGCTTTTCTTGAGCTTTTTTTTAAGGCAGACCCCTTTGGATACTGCTTTTCCTTCTTCGATGGGCGTGAATCATCTATCACCGGACTCACCTTAGTTTCCTTCACATTGATTTGCGTGTCAACAGATCGAGTGCTGTTTGACGCGTTCCGACTATGCTTGTTGAAACACTTCTTGGCAGCATCAACCAGTGAGATAGCCTCGGTTAACAAGCTGTTTGCATCCGAGCAGCACTGTTGACAAAGCCACACACAACCCTTCTTACTGAACCGTTTGAAAGCAGCAGGCGTTAAGTTCGTGCAAACTTCGTGGTACCAGCCTTTGCACTCGTCGCACTGCATGCCGCTTTCAACAGGATAACGACAACCCGGACGTTGGCAACTGCTTTTTTTACACTGTCCGGTCATTTAGAAGGGGTTTTTTCAATATGCGATGATACCCAGAAACAAAAAAATTATCAATGACCAAAAAAGTGAAGAGCTGTAGATTGCTAGGACCAAAAGTACTAACAGATACAGTTGAAAAAGTGGTACTAAAGAGTACCAACGACAAAACAGTAAAAACGATACTTTAGTCGAATACTTTAACTGAAATAAATTCAATTAAAGTGAAAAACAGTAGTCTTGATACGTAATAAACGATCAAAACAATGAAATTTACTCAGCGAGGAAAAATACCACTGTGTAACACGTGTAATCAGCAGTCACTGGAAGACGGGAAAACCTAAAGCCACAACACACACAATGTTAACTGAACACTTTACACCACAGAGAGAACGAGGAACGGAGGCCAATAGACGTTTATTTTGAAAATTAAAATTCGCGGGGTCTGTACAGAAGGGGAGCTAGTTTACAAACGGTCTTATGAGTCATCATGTAAGTTTAGTGCGTGCAGGGCTTGCTCTTCTTCTTCTAAAGCGTTTATTCTTGGTCGCCCTGCAATAGAAAGAAAACAAAATCTATTAACAACGGCATGCATGATGATTTTAATCCCGTTACATCGCCCCCTCTCCTAATGAGGCACTGTCCTCAGTGCCTGATCTTGGGCACGGGTATGCTGTCCCTCCTTCAGGTGGTACTTCGTAAAATCTAGTGGCCGGCGGTGGATCAGCGAGTTGAGCATCGAAGGGAAATGTTGTCCGATCGGGTTTTATCTGGTTGTAGTGCACCGTTATCACATCGTCTTTAGGTCGTTGTATGTTACGCAATACAAACGTGGTGGGCGATCGGATGAGGACAATTTCAAAGGGGCCTTGCCAGGGTTGATGGAATTTACTGCAACCCCCTAGCGACGTCATTGGGCGGCGTAACCAGACGCGATCTCCAACCGTATACCTAGGTCCTTGTGCTTGACGATCATATATATCTTTTTGGTGTCCACTGGCCTTGCCTAAGTTAATGTTGACCAGACGGTAGGCATCAGCTAGTCGGTTGCGGAGAGTACGTATGTACGGAACATGCTCTTGTTCTTCGTAGGGCAGCAGGGGTGACTGTATCTCTACTGGTAGGCGTAGTTCGTGCCCGAACAGCAAAATAGCAGGCGAGAATCCCGTGGACCCATGTACCGACGTACGATATGCTAAAAGGCATTGGGGAAGCACCTCATCCCATAACTCCGGTGACGATCTGCTGACAAACGACTGCAAGATGGCTTTAATAGTTCTGTTTGTTCTT